TCCTTTATCACAAGGCACTCTAGTTCACCCATCTTATTATTTAGATTTCTAGCATTTGTGTACAAGCACTTTAAAAACCACCAAGGCTATGTCTTCACTGCAAAGTTAACTTGGGTTTTTGATTCTCAAATTACTTCTCTCAAGTTAGTCAAGCCTGAGTGAGAGCAGACACACTGCAAAATAACACTCGTGTTGCTGTATCCACATTGGTATTTCAATCACACTTGTGGTGGTAAAACTTGTGCGGGCGCATCCCATGGTTTTATAGATTAAGGCCAGAAAAGATTGTGATACCATTCTGTGTAACACAGGCCAAAGAATTTCAACTAGTGAGGGTACGTCTATACTTACTTCCTGGTCTGGATGTAAGCGATCGATCTTCTGGGATCGATCCCGGAAGTGCTTGCCGTCGACGCCGGTACTCCAGCTCAGCGAGAGGAGTACGCGGCATCGACAGGGGAGCCTGCCTGCCGCGTCTGGACCCGCGGTAAGTTTGGACTAAGGTACTTCGAATTCAGCTACATTATTAACGTAGCTGAATTTGCGCACCTTAGTCCGAAGTGGGGGGTTAGTGTGGACCAGGCCTTACTGATGAATGGAGACTAAATACTTGTGTTTGGCTAAAGCATATCTTCTAGAAAAGCATCAGTCTTGGTCTGAAGAATGCAAGAGATGGAGAAACAGCCGTTTCCCTTGGTAGTTTGTTCTAGGATACCCAAGGACATCTATGTATCAACTGTCAGAGGGCATGGAGGGTTCATAGGATTTTACAAGGGTCCCCTAAGTTGGATATAAACAATAATTCACTAAAGAGTGGCACTGAGATCTCTATTGGGAGCCAGTAGCCCACTCGTCATCTTAATCTTTGTGCTGTGTCTGGATGGAGAATAATTAAGGAATTAATGTTTCTATGGTGAAAATTATATTCCTAGGGCAGGTAACCAGCAGGTGACAAACTTCAAACATATTCCTTGCAGGCAGGGGGTAAGAGACACTTATCTCACTGTTTGGTCATTGTGGATTCACAGGGAAGGTCTGTTTACATACTGAATCTGATGCTAATCAAGAGAGTGCAATATCTTCATGAGAGGGAATTTCCAGGAAGAAATAAAGAGCAAGTAGGAAGTCCTGTTTACAGGTAAAGTCAGTGAATTGTTGGGATATAACTGGCAGTGCAGGTACATCCTGGATCTTTCACCTAAGAGGCAAATTGACAGTGTGCCTTGTCTCTTAAATGGAAGATCATAGCTATGCCTGGGTGTAAAAAAACTGGAAGGATTTTAGGTGAGCATTGTTCCATAGGCCAGGAAAAGAACTAGTTAAGTAAGTCTAGGTTCTAGAATACTCGATACAATTTTACTTTATATGTAACCATTTGTTTGCAAATCTTCTTTTGCTATTACTTGAGTCTCTATACTTTGTTAAACAAACTCTTACTTGATTTCACTATAAACATATCTCTGTGCTGTGTCTCTAGCGGAGCAGTGATCTGCATTGAAGCTGGTAAGTTGGGGTGTGCTGATGCTTTGGAAACAGTGGATCTGTGACTACTATGCATGTCTAGTGGAATGGGGGCTGGACACTCCAGAGAGATGCTTAGAGGGGTCAAGGGTTGGAAGGGACCAACCTATAAAGAGAGAGGGCCCTGCATAAGCTTAGAGGGGAGTGCTTGGGTTACCCAGGGGCAGTGGAGTTGGGGAACTGACCCCCAATAGGCACAGACAAGACTTCCTCTCACTAAGGGTGGATGGTGGTGAGGTGCCTCACAATCCTGTGTACTCCCAGGAAGAGTCACAGTGGAGTAGTCAGCAGGATCTACACCCCATTTGCTCAAGGCACTTATATACCAGATAACATAGCTACTAGGAGATTCAAAAGTGAGAAGGTGGGAAACAGGGAGAGAAAAGGGATTACATTTTGTTGTTTGGGGTTTATTTTAGGAAAGGGAAACAGAAGAAAAGACAGTGCAAAGTGAGCAAGCAAAAAACCTGAGCCAAACGGACCAGTGCTTGGTTTGAGCATCTGTGCACAGAACATGGATTAGACGCGTGTGCCTAATAGTTCCTGTGTGCCATGGAACTATTTCATTGTCTGGTGACAGATGGGAAGATTAATTATTTATTAGAGACGCCTAGTGAGCTACAAGCTGTGGGGCATGGGGAGTTTGTCTTGCCCCAAAATCTGTCTCTCGGGAGTTCCTGTAGAATGAAAAATTCTTCTGCATCATTCCACAAGTGGACCAAAATTTGCACCATCATAAGCAGGATGTTGATTTAGGATGCAGCAGCATAGAACCACCATGAATGTGCCTTTGCAACCTTCCCCCCTACCCCTGCTTTCGCCTTACTACCACTGAATAGCTCAGCTCGGCAGTCCTGTAATGTCATAGGAGGATCCAAGGAGCCCTAGGTTTTTTTGTTTCATTCCTGTAACTCTACAAAAAAGTTATAAAACACTGAAACTTTTCAAAAGCAGCCCAATTTATTGGAAGCAGGCAGTATTTCAGGAACACCTTGACCAAATGGCCTCAAATTTACTTCAGTCTGCTCAACCTTTCTTATGGCATAATTATCCAAGACAATCTCCCCATGCTGGTGAATTTTGGATATTAAAAGCAGCTCATCAGTGGTTTGAGGA